GCCCTCGGGGACGCCCCCGCCCCTCCCCGGACTCGGACGGGGACCCCAGAAACGCTCCCGCCGCAGTCGCTGAATTAATCGTTGGCGTGATGTCTGACCCGCGCCCACCTCCTGCTAGAGGCGGGGACCCTCGGGTCCTGCTGACCGCCCTGGCCCCGGGGCCTCGAACTGTGCCGGGCGCAGAGGGCGCGCGCTGAGTAAGTGTTGGAAGTTGGGCGAACGCCGCCCTGCCTGCAGGATCCCAGAGGTGGGAGTACAGAGCTGGGAGGGTGTGGGCCGTAGGAAAGCCACTGATGGCCTGCTTCGTGACTGCTGTTGTTACTTCATTACAAGCTGCCGTGTTACTAGAAGCTCCTACGTGTCCACCGTGCACTGTGTGCCCGGCACCGCGTCCACAGCTCCTTTTTCCCCCGGGCTAGCGGAGGTGAAGTTCCTTGCCTTAAGTCTGCACAGAGCTCGAGGTTGAGCTGGCCTGGCAGCCCTGGAAGCAGCCGGCCCCCTCTCCCCAGCCCCCACCCCCCAGATCCCGGAGCTGCCTGCTCCAGGGCCAGCGTTCTCTCCAGGAAAGCTGCCCAGGCCTCCAGCTGCCTTTGCCTTTGGATTTGCCAAATGCTTCTCTGTGTCTGTGCTCACTGCCTCACCCCGGACTTAGAGATAAACAACCTGAGGCTGAGGATGGATAAGTTACCTGCCCAGGGTCATGCCTCAGGGAAGCAAGGCAGGCAGGATTCTGGCCTCAAGTTTAATGGGAGCCCAGAACTTCAGAGCAGCAAGGACCTGGGAGAGCATCCCTCAGTCGTCCAGGAAGTAGTCAGTGAGCACCGGAGAGCGTGCGGCTCTGGGTAGGGTGGGGTGGAGGCTGGGGGGAATCAGATGACTGGTCCATTTGCACACCTGGGTCTAACGGGAAGAAACAGATGAAGACCCGGCCCTCCTGTCCCAGAAGTCTGGCCTGTTTTGGGAAGGTCAGGTAGGGAGTACTGTTTTCTGGGAGCCTGCCCTGGGCTGCAAGTCAGCTTCTGTTTCTGGTCTGTTCAGTGACTGAGTGGCCTTGGATGTCTTTCCAGTTTTGTTTTTCAAATAGTCCAGAGGTCTTCACCTGCCCAAGCCCTGTGGCGTCCAGATGCTGTTCAGGATGCTAGGGCCTGTGGGGATGGAGCCCGGCTGGTGGAAGGGGCGGACCGCAAGTGAGACACAGATGCCTTCTGTCT